TGTCTGAGATAACCTTTGATAGGGTAACTGTAAGATTTATGAGTTGTGTCTGGTTACAGTGGTTAGTGATATGATTAAGAAGCTATGGCATACTGGGGATATTTTTTTTACTGTGAAACCGGAAAGCAGGATAGGACATTTTTTGTTGTTGACTGTAAAAGTTAATGAATTCGAACGTATATGTCAGTTTAATTTAATTTTCAAGTCGCAAGATTGGAAAACAAAACTTGATGCTTCCTTTGATATTGCTTGTGTTTTATGTCATGATCTCATGATGTTGAGAATGACATGTGGTAAAGGTTTGACAGGTTTAAAGGATTGTTTTATCTCTCTAGTTGACCTTAGGTTTTCATTCCTCAGAAACAGATAATCTTCTCTTAACTAGGACACTGAACAATATTGGGGAAAATATTTGCCATATTAAGTTAACAGTGAGATATGGTGAGATATAAAGGATCATAGTATATTATACTATGATCCTTTATATCTCACCATATCTCACTGTTAACTTAATATGGCAATATTAATATCCATCTGGACCAGACCTAGCTATAAGACTAGACCTTTCAACCAAATCTAGACATCAGCTGTGTTGTCTGTTTGTATTGCATGTTTCTGGCTGTGGATGAACACAGGAGAGACAGGTATACACCACACAGTACGCCAGTGTTTACATTCAAATCAAACGGAACTGTAGGCACAAGTCTTATGAAAGCAGTGCAGATGACACAAGACATAGCTCAGAGTCAACCCAATCAAGATACCTGCCAAGATATTGAGACTCTTTCCAATGGAGTCACAGCCGTGCTGTAGTTTGTTTGGTATCATTCCTGGCAGGAATGTTGAACAGTTGTGGCTGGAGTAGACTCTACTGTAGATCATGTATCTGTTTACACATCAGAAATGAAACCTGGGAATTAACATCCAAGCTTCTGACACTTCAGCCTCACTGTTAATTGACATGCAGGCCTACCTCACCCCAAGGCACATAGTACTGAACTTGATACCTTTTATTAAAGAAAACTTGGTGTTGACTTAGAAATAGACAGGTTTTCTCCCTCTTTTTAGAATTTTAAGGTTACAAGGTTGTTTTGTCTGTTGACAAGCCTTATAAGGATGTAAACCTCAGCCCTGCTGCCTAACCCTATGACCAAATGGTAGCCGAACAGCTACATTTGTACTTCAGTTTGCTATAAGGATGTAGTGTTGCATTTGTTTCTCTTTACAATACACTTGTATTGTCAGGTATTACTATTAGAAAATATAGTGTTCTAATCAAAGTAAAGATAAGACTTATAAGATTGACAAGGATGCTTTTATTCTGAAACAGGTACAGGTGTTAGTTTTCAGGGTCATGGTAAGTGTAACCTACACCATGGAATCATCAGTTCATTCATCAGACAGTTGTTCCATACCAACTAGGCTTAAGCACTTGGGTCTTTGACTGAGTTTTCCCACCCAAAACCCTTTGTGACTTCCCATGTCTGCGTGGACAGAGTAAACTGTTTGTTCTGGGACTAACTGTAGCCTTGTTTTGTCCCGCACAGGTCACGGCTCAGCTCCGTGCTCCAGAGCCTGGAGCGCCAAATCGTGACCAAAACCTACGACGTCGAGCAAGTCCGCTACCTGACCTCCAAGGTGCTCCACTTCGTCCAGACACAAGGTAAGTTGTTACACCTGTCTCACAGGTGTGAACTATCTGCCATACAGGTGCATCATACCTAACACACCTTCAACTTGAGTTAACATTCCATCTATGCTTTACCTGTTGGTATGTTGGGATATCTAGTTTCAGTGTCAACTGCATCTAAATAAATTTTGGCAGTATCCTACTGTCTTCTTCCTGAGTGTTCAGCAATATCACAATTTTATGTATGTTCTAATCCTTTTGCTTTCTTTTACTTACTCCTTTCTTTACTCCAGATTTGTTTATTTCCCCCTCTTCCTTTCACGTTTGTATGTCTGCCTTGTACATTTGTCAACAAGTTTGCTATTGAAACCCCATTAGTTTTACACCCCTCTGGAGAGGTTGCAGTTACACACAGGTGATGAAAAGTGGAAACGAGATCTGTCTGGGGTTTTCCTGGTTATTGTGTGTTTTGGAGTCATTCCTCAACACCTACACTAAAGGTTTCCCAGGATACAGTTTTAACCTTCTCCCTGCTGCCTCACCCCATAACCATTAGACAGAGACCTATAGCCAATCTGCTACTTCAGTGTGCTAAAGGTTAAAGCTAACAAAAAGTGAGACGAGTTTTAAAATTCCAACTCTCTTGCAAATTGAGATTGAGGTATATGGTATATAAAGAAGACTAGAGCATAAACCTATTAGAAGGCTTAAGTAGTATGGTTGCTGATATGAAAATGTACATGTATGAATTATTAGATAATAAGACTTTCTACAATTGTAAAGCACAGATATCAAATTACTCTCAACAAGAGAATGTCAGTGTACCATCATACTGATCAAGAAACTCATTTTGTACAGAAATTTGCCTTATCATCTTGACAGTTAACATTACGTCATGTACTTTTCAAACTCACAGTCTTGCTTTCTTTGCCCTCAGCCGTTGCCATTAGCCTAGAAATACAAGTGTCTTTGGTGCGTGACTCCCAGTGATTTCACAGTTCTTCAGACTAAACAGTATGGCCTTAGGACTTACCATTGCCATGACAGGCTGCAATAATAGGAAGTTCCTTTTTCTCTTACTAGAGTTTTAGTGTGATAATATTTACAATACCTGAGATGCAGACTTTGCTGTGTGTTAGGTATCATAAAGGAAGGGTCCATCGTGAAAATGAATGCCTACTGACAGCATGTTCAGGATAAAACATGAAGACAGGAAGTTCTGCTGCAGTACCAAGGAGAGCCATCAGGAGGCCCAAAATTGATCATGATCTTTGTGTTTGCAATTATCATTACCAAATATCATTACAATCCTTCCTTATCTACTTAAGTTATTGCTGGTAACATACACAATGTAAACAGACAGACAGACACACCAGAAACAATACTTCTGTTTTTCCCTGAGTTGATAAATGAAGAGAAAAAGTAGAAATTGATTGCAAATGTTTTTGGAACCTAGACAGTCTCTGTGAGAGGTTCCTGTGTTTGGTCCCTCCTGGCTCTATCTGGCAGTAATTGGACAATTTGTAGGACCTGATTTGTTTGAAGAAGGGACTACTGCCTGGTGGGGAGACAAGCCTCAGAGTAATTGGATGCAAAATGGATGCAGTTGGAACAGTTGTGATTTATTAGATTTGCTTGCAGGAGGACGAAAGGAAGCTGTTGCCATTAACAAATAAGTGTATTTAAGAAAAAAAAAATTACTAACTACAGTCAAACCTGTACAAGTGACCAAGTCTATATATAACTTTAAGGACCACCTGCTCACTGTTTGGTGGTCCTTCATACAATTCTTCCCCTTGACACAAACATGAAGAATACCAACAACCTGGTCCTAGATTTTATTGGTCAGAAGTTAGAACAGACTTAGAGTGTGATGAAAGCTATCCTAGGAAGAATAGTACCCAGCCTAACGGACTAGGCAAATACTAAAGATATATACTTAGATCTCTAAAGATAATGCATGTCTCAACTAATAGAGATGTCAGGATCAAGCATCTCTGTGAGGATTACATGTATGAGCCTCCTAGTGTGAGGTAAGAACTTAAGAGATGAGGCACAGACATCTCTGGTAATGGAGACACTTTTGAGATGCTGCCAGTTGGCACTGTGCAGAGATGTTCCTGAAACACCCAGCTGCAGTCCTAGTCTCTCCCCGCGCTCTTTGGCCACATCAGCTATCAATAAAGCTAAGAACTTGATCTTTCCAAGGGAGGGAGACTGGTCCACAAATTGACCCCACTTCATTTGCAGGGAGAGAAGCTTTTTATCGTGTCTGTTGTCACTGCTGCAGTCTGGAACTAATTCTCCCACTTGTTTCTCAACTATGAAGGTCGACACCCCTATACCCAGCCATAACAGTTGACTGGGCATGTGAAGGCTTGGCTTAGTAATTGTCTACAGATTGAAGGGAAATGAAAAAAGCCACTGGCAAATGGAAAATGATGTGTTCTGGTCTTC